CATCACGTTTATTACTCCTAAATTTATTTGTTAATCTCACATATAAAAAATACAAATTTTAAAAAAAAACAAAAAAAAACATACATTATTTAAAATTTCACACAATAATAATCAGAGTTTTGATAAAAATATCTTAAAATAAAAAAAAATAAAAAAACAGTTAATACATCATGTAAAAGTAATTTCACTATGAATCTGTTTCCGGTAGAGGGGTTAACGTTTCTGAAGGGGGTGGCATTTGATCTAGCAACTCTTCCACGTTGGATGATAAGGTTGGTAAAAAATCCCGAACCTCTTCCAATACTTCACTACATGCTTGCCTGCATCGATTTTTAATCTCATTATAATCAATTCTTCTACGTGAACTGGTCCTACCATTACCATCATCATCATCACTATCACCCAAATCTATACTCTCAATCTTTTCAATTATTTTATTACTTATTTCATCTATATTTTTTTTAACAGCCTCACCAGACTCAGCTACCATAGTTTTCCAACGTTCATTTTCAGATATCAAACATTGATTTTGTTGATAAAGAAGGGTATACGCCTTCTTTAATCGATTGAAATCTCCAATTGCTTTATCACGAATTCTACTATTATTACCAATATTAACTTGCTTTTCGTTATTAGGTTCTACAGTTGCCATGATAGATATTTACCTTTATAAAATAGAAAATAGGTGGTGGTAGTTGAAGATTTTTTGGCTGTGTTAAAAAATACAACAAAAAATATCGGCGATTCCTGAAAGAAATCACCTCACCCATCACTCATCGCAATTTATAAGATTATCATTTTTGTGTAATATGATTTGTAATAAAAGAACAAACCATTCAATAATCCTTTGTTTTTTTAACCTTAAAATCAAATAATGTTTGTAAGTATATTTTTTTTATAGTTGTACTAATAAATATATATCATTTACTCTACATATTTATTAGCTAAAATTGATAGCTGCAGGAGCCCAGTTCGAAGGCGCAATCTGTCTTAGCCTTTATCTCTATGATCTATACAATGAAAACCTTTATTATACAATATGTACATTTATAGTAATCTTCTTTCTCATACTGGCCGGAGTTGGTGCATTAGAAAATATTTACCAATTTGATAAGCGGCTACATCTACTAGTTGTTGCAGGTTTGGTTGGTTGGGGTTATATGCATCTTGGCTGGATGGTGTTTGGATATGCATTATACATAGCAAAAGTGTTTTTTAATTCTGATTATGATTGATGATGTTAAAACATTCTCAAAAAATTTAAATGTATACACAAACACAATATAAATCAAACAAATGAGTGGGTGGTTCCTTTCAGGAATCGCCGATATTTTTTGTTGTATTTTTTAACATGGCCAAAAAATCTTCACCTATCTATATTTTTAAAAAAAAAACAAATATAAAAAAAATGATTGATACTTTACTTGATAAACTAAATAATGTTCGTAAAAAAAATAATTTACAAAACTTAGAATAGAATACCCAGTTAATTAATGCTGCAAGTAAAGATGTGAAAGAAATTTCTTTAACTAATAAATTTGCTGAAAATAATAATCCTAAAAATTTTTATCATTATGAACGACAATATTATAATGCTAAAGATGAAAATGAAGTTATAAACGAATTATTAAAAACAAATGAACATAAAAAAATTTTATTAGATAAAAAATATAATTATTTTGGTGCCTCTTTTAAAAACAAATATTGGGTATTAATTTTTGGTCAACGTCATGCTAAAGAAGAAATTAATATTAATCTTTTATTAAAATATACTAATAATAAATGAGTAAACCTTGGCCTTAAAAAACTTATATTAAATAAGTAAGTTATTTTATTATTAATTGATTTAAAATATATTTTAATTTTTTTTTAGTCAATTAGTAGAAGCTGCAGAAGAATATGTTAATTATTTGGATAGAAAAAAAATTTTTGATCATATTGATGATGCACGCAAAAAAATTCCTGGAATATATTGGGTAGAAAATCTCGGTCAATATTATAAAAGTGAAAAAGAAGCAGTTCAAGACTGGATGACATCAGAAGAACACAAAAGACAAATTATTAGTAAAGATTATATTTATTTGGATGCAAGCATTTGGATATAAAAAATAATGTTTACATAAAACAATTAAATTGTAAAACCAAACTGACTATGTAATTTTTTTTGTTTTTTATTTATTATAATAAATAACTTATACTAAATCCAAACGTATTTGAAATAACTTACTGTTAAGTATCATTCTTTGTTATCAATAATAAGAACATTGATATAATTATAATCAGGTTGAATTTTTAAGATTTTATATGAACTTAAATACAACTGATTAGCAAGACCAAATAACTTTAACATTCTAATCTTATTTTCATTAACCTTGGTAATTTCACTTTGTTCAACAACCTCGATAGGTTTTATCCCACGTAAATCCAAACCCAAGCCTCTTAAAATAGCTTGGTATTTCTCGAGAAATTTTAATACTTTATCACAGTTTTCATTAGTTGCTTTTATTATTCCATTTTTTGTTATTTTAAACGTTTCAATATAATCATTACATACATCTTGATAAAGAAAATTGATAGTTTCAATAATATTTGCAGATTTTTCAGACATATTCTTAGTATATAATCTATAATAACTTAATATTAGTAATAAAATATTTTGTTAATTAGTTATAAAAAACTGATTCTTACATTTTTCGATGTACTTTTTTTATATTTTCACTTTAGGCATTGTTTTTAATATTTAATAGTCTATTTATATAAAAATATCTTACATCATGCGCTTATTGTTCTTACGTCATTTGTGGTGCCCCCTATGCTGTAGGGCTCTACCCAATCTCGCTGCGAAATTAGTAGCGAATGCACACATGAATTATTGGCTCCTACTCGGTTGGTAAACCTAAATTACCCTTGTATACCATATCCTCACAATGAGCTAATCACAAGCCATATGCCAACAGCAGTGGCGAGCCAGATCGGCTCACCCTGAAACTTAGCCGGCATCGCAATCGGACGCCATCTCTCCCACGCCACGTTGCAGCGTGTCATCGACGTTTCCAATCGATGCCGTCAAAGTTTTCAGTCGAACTTTGATGATGGCGATCCATTGCATAGATCGCCAACGCCAAAGTTCGATTAGAATTTGCAATCACAGGTTAACAGACAAGAGATACAATTTAAACCAATATCGTATTAAAAAAATTGAAGTTATTTATTGAGTGATTTACCAAATTTAAACTTGTAAAATCTTGACAATCAATTGAGCTTTGCCAATTTCATAAATCGAGATCAACAAAATAAAAAATATAAAAAGATGAAATGTGATTTAAAATAAGGCAAAAAATAGAAAAACTCAATAATAATATTTTATTATATATATTTAAAATATTGTTCCCAAAACAACGGGAAAAAATTAAAACTACTTGTCGAAAATTTCACGATCTTTATATTAGAAGCTTGAGAACAAGAAGAAATATTAATTCCAAACAACATATTTTCTTCCGATTGCATAAAAAAGATCAAAAATTAAATCAAGAGTTACTATTTTATGAAATTGATCATATTCAAAATGGATTTGTATATTTAAAAGGCAAAAGAACAACCACAATGCAAAAATGTAAAATTTTATATAACGACTTTGGTATTCCATATTGTAAACTACGAAATAAGTTTGTTTATATTTATGAAAAAAAATTTAAAAATGAGATACAAAAAAATTTTTGTGAAAGAGGTACTAAAATAGATTTTTCGTTCGAATGTGATACAATGATTCCATACTGTAAAATTATAAATTGTAAGCAGAAACCATTTTCTTTTGAAGATCCATTTAATTTTACCAACTTGGATATAAAAAATACTTATTGTCGGCATATTTTTTGTTCAAAATGTTCATTCAAACTTAGCTCTGAGCACACAAAAAATACTCTTTTAAATTCGATAACAAAAACATTTATTATCAAATCAGATTTTTAAAAATACTGTTGTACTATTCAATATTTTTTTAAAATATTATAAATAAATATATTATGAACAACATCCTTCAGTACTATGTGAATACGACCTTTAGAATAAACTTTCAAAATTAAAAACATTGTAGTCGAGTTTGCCATAAGCTCCAGCCTGCGAACTCGACATTTGGTCACCATGGCTTATATCCTACTATACTGATTGTCGTACCTGATGCTCGCCGCTTGGGCACACTTTCAGCAAAAGTATCAAAGCTTTTTTTCTACTAAAACATTTGTTATGATATGCCCTGACGCCTTGATGGCATGAATTTCGTCGCCTTTTAGGCCACGAAATTAATGCTTATCTCATTTTACGGCATATCTCACAAAGTTGAATCATTTCGATGGCATGAATTTCGTTACCTTTTAGGCCACGAAATTAATGCCTATCTCGTTTTAAATTACTGTTTACAAGTTTAGATTAAATGTACGCATAACGATTTATTTGAATAAAAATATATATACAGAGAAAAAAAATGTTAATTACAAATATTTAGTAAAATCATTTTTTGGATTGTTAATCGAATCTTTCCACATGGATGCTACTAATTTAACTGCTGCGTTATGATCTACTTCTGAATTATTTCTTTTAATTATTGGGAGATTGAATTTCATAAACCTATTATACGGTGATAATTTTTTCTTTTTATGCATGCTACTTTTTTAGCCAATCTATCAGCATTCTTATTCTCGACCGCGCCTTTATGACCCGGAATATAGGTAAAGTAAACCTTGCCAATTCTGTTAGAAGTTAAAATATCAATTCTCTCAAAAAGATCCTTGTTCTTAACAACCACATTGCATGATGTTTTCCAATTACGCATTTTCTATATGTTGATCCAACTTTCAAACGCGTTAACCACATTTCTGCTATCGGTCCTAATCTCAAGTACCTTTTCTCGATTTTCGCATATTTCAAGAGCACGAACTACCGCATAAATTTCCGCATGATTGTTATCCTGTAATGAACCTGGTAATGACTCAGTGATTTGTTTACTTCCATCCTCGTGATAAATCCCAATTCCAGCAAAACACCCCTTGTCATTAGTTTTACAACAACCATCTGTATAAATAACAATTTTATCATTAGATCTTAAGATTTCTTCCTTTTGTTTCTTTTTCAATTGATGATTAGTAAATATTTGGATTGCTGTTTCAGAAGTTAAACACTTTTTATAATAAGCAAAGGGATAGCCATTCACTTGTTCTTTACACTAGTTCCAAGTATGATAAACACCTGGAGTACGGCCAATCAGAACCGTATAGAAATATTTAGATGATTGTGGCATTTTTTAAGAAAAAAAACTGAAAGTGTGCCCAAGCGGCGAGCGTCGGGTACGACAATCAGTATAGTAGAATATAAGCCATGGTGACCAAATAAGAGTTAGTATAATAAATGAAATAATTTCAAATATCATACAAGTTGGGATCCTTCTCTTACCTGAATAAAACACTTTAATTTTAAATTAAAAAAAAATGAGGTTTATATAGTTTTTTTAGATATGGGTAAAATCACAAAAATTATGGGAGTTGTTGATTTATACATATTGGTGTTGATTTAATTAGTAAGCAAAATAAATATGGAATGATAATTTGTTGGATGATGATGAAAAACGGTTGCCAGTTTCGTCTGAGGAAACTGGCAACCAAAACTTTATTTAAAATAAAAAATTAAACCTGATTTAAAAAATAAAAAAATTTTAATGCTGAAAATACGTGAGATGGTTTCCAACTAACTGGCACTCCTCACAGAGAGTATGAATATGAATATCTTTGATGCCGCTGGGGGTATGAATAAAAGCTTGTGAAACACATTTATTTCTATATTCACACTCTTGAATAGGAAGGTAGTAACGGTTGAAGTTGATGCAGTAGGTAAACGAAGCACAGTTGAAACATTCAGATTTCCCATAATTCAGTAGGTCAGACACAGGAAAGAGAAGAAGAACCCTACCACGCGGCACTTTTCGGAAGAATTTAAATGGGCACAAGCGTCGATAATTGAAAGGGTAAAGCTTGTGTCGTGACCATGTATCGCTGACAAATTTGACCGAAATGAAATATTTTCACGTTTTCACACTGAATTTCAATTGGTAAGGATAGTTATATGTTTTAGATGGAAGAAAGGAATTCTCATCACGCTCCTCAGTTATATGGTAGCGCAAAGCATACATATTAAAAATTTGCAAATAAAACTCGTGCCATCTTCTGGCCACGTATTTTAGTTGCTGGAAATAGTAAAACTCTTCATCAGAAATGAAAATCAGAGGTTTCAAGTAGAGCAGAATCTCGTGAAAAAGCTCAGATGGTAGATCATTAAATCGATTTGGTCTAGTAGAACACATGCTCTTGGACGAACGTGGCATCGGTGTCGAGTTTTTTGACAATTTTGATGATTATGAGAATCTCACAATTACGTATATACTCAATGGATACAGAATATGTAAGGTTTGGTAGATGTATAGATGTACCGGCAGATGATGTAGCCCTGGCATGATTAGAATGTGTTGTCATCAACTGATCAAAAGTCAAAGGATCGAGCTCGTTATTTTTTAGATAGTTAAGCAAGAACGAAGATTGCTGGTTTCGTTTATAGAAACTAGCAATCTCAGTGTAATCTCTCATAGATATAATATTCTTATCAAAAATGATATACTTGAGCCGTATTTATTGTAATATGATGTTTTTTTTAAATAAAAATATACAGTTAAATAACAATAAATAAAATTGATATATGAAATTTTGAATAAAATTGGTATATGAATGTTAAGTTAAATGAAATTAATATATATTTATATTTATATTTATTACTCCTTCCAAATTATGGGACGGGAAAATTGCATATCAACTATACGAGGAAAAGTGAAATAACAAGACTTGCAAAGCTTATAATAGTGCGAGAGGAAATAACTTAGCAAGTCCATCTTGAGGTTCACAGAATAAAAAGAACAACCAGGAATCTGGCACCCATTGAAGATTAACGACATGTAACAAAACATTATCTTCCAACAACAGTCACATCGTTCTTTTTCAACATCCTGACATCTCATACAGATCAAATGCTCAGACCTGCTGTAGAGTGAAAAACACTAATAGAAAAATTTCTTGCATGGTTGAACTTGTTTGGTGAATCGAGCTTGGATCTTACAATAGGTATTTTGAGATCTTTCACAATGATTGCAAGGCTTTTTTCGATCACAACTATATGCATCCAAATTGGCCAAATTGGAATAATTAATAATGCATGAATAGCAAGGAAGGTTCTCGAAGGTCACACGATAAGGTTGCTCTGTTTTTCTCGCAATCTGAAGTGATGTGAAATTATAAAAAAATGGGTTTCGATGACCAATATCATTTTCACTAATCCAGACATTTCGAACAGGATTCAAAAACATGTAGTGTGTGTATATTTTATGAATGTGTTTACAGGTGAATGCATAAGATAAGATATCATCATAGTAGAGCAAATCAAAGATCTGATGATAGATCTCGACGGGAATTCTCTCCATTATAGGTAATGACAATTAAGCAGTGATAAATAAAAACAAAAAAATAAATATGTTTAGGAAGAAGCTCACTACTGATCTTGTTTGTCGAGAAAGATTATCACAAGACGCTTGAATTTTGGCCGACCAGGTTGAACTTGAAGGATGTAGCCGTGAGAGGAGTCCTTTTTAAAACAATTTTCACAAATGTAATGGTAATAGCCAATAGGAGAAGAGCACGAGGTGCAGCTTAACGTAGAGGGAACAAAGATCAACTCACAGGAATCAGATGATTGGTAATATCTATTGTAAGAATCCTTTGAAGAGGTTTGGTGGATACGTGTTTAAGCACACACTAAAAAATCTCAAAGATATATTTGCGACTTCCTGCCACTTTTGCCGGGCATGTGAAGTTTTCGAGTACAAAATTCGTTTTTGTTTTCGGGAGCTGTTTAGCCAGAAATTTACATATCGATCACCTGTCAAAGATTCAAATGATAGGACCTTGATAGTTCGATAAGAATGGTAGAAATAGAAAACATGCTTCCGAGAGTTCAGATGGAGATAGAAATACGTAGCATTGAAGAAACAAGAAACAAGACGAATCTTGAACATTTCATATTCGCTCAAGCAGGAAAAGATCATGTGCCAAATCTCATGTGAAAAATTCATCATTGTAAGAAAAAATACATCGATAACCATATGAACGGTGAAAAATCACTATTCATGTGGTTGTGTATATTACGGTTGTTATATTGTTGTTGTTTATTTATTAAATATTTACAGGTTTGCAAATTAAAATTATTAATTACTGATAGAGTAGATGTTATATTAAAAAAAAGGAATTAATGTATGAATATAAATTATTTATCCTTCGATTGGGGCGAAAAATAATAGTCGATACATGATTTCTTAGATGAAGAAGCCTGAGAGAATGACGATTTATGCTTCTCGGGGAAAATGTCACTAACTTGGAATAGTATAGAGTCAACATAAAGAGTGAGATCCCTGTTTAGCTTAGATTGTTTGAATTTGTTAGAAATTTCTTGATAAAGAGAACCAATTATTTTTTCAGCCTGCACAACATCACAAGCAAAGATACCAGCGCAAAGATCCTTCAGAGTCTTGAAATAATAAAGAAAATCAATCTTTTGTGTCAAAGAATCATACTCTAAAACCATGCACATCTTGTACTCTATTCGAGCTTTAGGATCCGGATGCTCCAACACATAATAGTAGAAACGACCCGGATCGGTGGATTTCTTCTCAACCTCACGCTTGGCCACAAAATCGATGACTATTTTATTCCCCTTCTTGACAGTCACATGTCTGTTATTCTAATAGTCAAGAACAGACAACAGAGCATAAGTGGGATCATACTTCCCATTCAGCATGAAAAGATCAAGATCACGTTGAGGAGTTCGAATGTAGCGAATCAAGATGTCAAGGATGACCTGCTTGGGGTCACGAAAATTGCTTATGATAAAGTGATTAGAGTCAAACCCTAATATGGACCAAATCATTTCCTCCCCAATAGTCTTGTAGAACTTGGAAGCGCTACGCTTGATTAACTTGAGGCCTTTTAGATAAAGTTTTGGATTTTCAAAAGATGGTGCACGTTCGTGAATAACACCACAATAATGCTTTTTTTGAAGAATCTGGCAGGGCAAAGTATCTTCTCGTAGACAAACGTGATATAATGCTTTTCATGTTGTCGTAAATAGTTGTTCACGAATCGTTCGAGTTGCTCAGAAGCTATTAAAGTTTGTTTGATCTTTTCTTCAAGGCATTGTGGTAATGATTCAAATTCGGAAGTTAGCTTATCAAGGCGAGACTTGGAAAGGGTAAAGAAAAACGAGTCAGTGTCACCTAAACCACATGGTAGCCCTGATCTCTCACATAATCAATAGTCTGGCGTAAAGTGAATCTACAGAAAGCGGTAACTGAGAGAGCAACATGCTTGTTGTAAATAGGTGAATAGGGATAGCCGCTTGTGCTGTAAATATTTAATAAATAAACAACAACAATATAACAACCACGTTTCTGCTATTAGTCCTAATCTCAAGTACCTTTTCTCAATTTTCACATGTTTCAAGAGTATGAACTACCGCGTAAATTTTCGCACGATTGTTATCTTGAAATGAACCTGGTAATGACTCGGTAATTTGTTTACTTCCATCCTTGTAATAAATCCCAATTTTGGCAAAACACCCATTGTTATTAGTTTTACAACAACCATCTGTATAAATAACAATTTTATCATTAGATCTTAAGATTTCTTTCTTTTGTTTCTTTTTTAGTTGATGATTAGTAAAAATTTGAATTGCTGTTTCAGAAGTTAACCACTTTTTATAATATGCAAAGGGATAGCCATTCACTTGTT